TCCCTGTCCCCATTCCCCGTCCCTGTCCCCTTTCCCATTCCCTATCCCCATTCCCTGTCTCCATTCCCATTCCCTGTCCCCATTCCCTGTCCCCATTCCCATTCCCTGTCCCCATTCCCTGTCCCCATTCCCTATCCCCATTCCCTGTCCCCATTCCCAATCCCTGTCTCCATTCCCATTCCCTGTCCCCATTCCCGCTCCCTGTCCCCATTCCTATTCCCTGTCCCCATTCCCAGTCCCTGGCCCCATTCCCTGTCCCCATTCCCTATCCCCATTCCCTGTCCCCATTCCCTATCCCCATTCCCTGTCCCCATTCCCTATCCCCATTCCCTGTCCCCATTCCCTATCCCCATTCCCTGTCCCCATTCCCTATCCCCATTCCCTGTCCCCATTCCCTATCCCCATTCCCTGTCCCCATTCCCTATCCCCATTCCCTGTCCCCATTCCCTATCCCCATTCCCTGTCCCCATTCCCTATCCCCATTCCCTGTCCCCATTCCCTATCCCCATTCCCTGTCCCCATTCCCTATCCCCATTCCCTGTCCCCATTCCCAGTCCCCATTCCCGCTCCCTGTCCCCTCACGAGACGCTGCCACCACCGCTCCGGCCCCCTCCAGCGCTCACGTGACAGAGGAAAACCGCGCTGCTCCCACCCACCAATCACAGCGCGCGATCGCTCCTGTATTTGCATAATCACGCCCTTTTTGTTTGGCCGCGCCCACCGCGAGCTGGAGCCGTGTCCGGCCTCTGTTTCCTCCCAGTTCCCTCCAGTGCTCCCAGTAAGAGCCGCACTGGGGGGGAAAGCGCTCCCACTTCCTTCCCGGTGCTCCCAGTATCGCTCCCAGTGCCTCGCGGGCCGGGACCGCTTTGGGAACCATCCCCCCCGGGCACAGTGCGGCTGCTTTTGGGTGTCGGCACCTGTCCGGGCCGGCCTGGGAGAGGAGGAGCGGGAGGAAGAGAGAGAGAAGAGGAGGAAAAGGAAAGGGAAAGCGAGGAGTGGGAGGAAGAGGAGGAGCAGGAACAGGAAAGAGAGAGGAGGGGCGGGAGGGAGAGGAGCAGCAGAACCACGCGGTTCCGCCCGCTCAGGCCGCAGCTCGCCCGGCTCCAGCAGCATCACCCACTCGCCCCCTCCCCCGGAACCCAGAGGTGAGCGGGGACGGGGAGCTCGCCCCAAATCTACTGGGTAGCGGGGGGAGTCTCCGGGGTTTGGTTTTTTTTTGCGGGGCAAGGTATGTTTGGACCTTGCAGGACCCCAAATGCCCTTTGCGGAGGTCCCACGTGGCGATCGCCCGGTATCGGTGGGCAGAGGGGCGATATCGGATTTGAGGATCCCTGGAGGAGCCGGGGGGAACGCGAGAGCCCCGGAGCGGGGAGAGCACGGAGGGGCGATCCCGGAGCCAGGAAACCCCTGCAGCCTGCAGCGCTGGGGGAGGCTGGGATGAGCAGGGTCTGGGCTCCCCTGAGACTGAAAGGGCCGGCGACTTCTCCAGCTGCACTTCGGCAGCGGCATCATCAAACCCATGGCCTCAGCCCTTCTTTCTCTCCAAACCAGGATTTCCCATTCCCAAACCTTGGCCCGATGGAGGTGGAGGCAGCTGTGAGGAAGAGGAAGATGCCCCGGGACACCCAGGCAGGTGAGGAGGAAGCCACTGACCCTTTCCCCCTCTCTCCTGCTCCATCTCCCAGCCCAGCATGACCCCGGCTGCAGGACAACCCCGCTGCCGACGCCGTCCTGCCGGGGACACACTGGGGGGATCTCCTTCCCCTTCCCTCTGGCACGGAGGCAAATCCCATCCTCTTCTTGTCCTTCCTCCCCCAGACAAGGAGCTGAGGATGGAGACCAGGGAGGACAAATCCCCACAGCAGAACCTCGCAGAAGAGGCTGTTTTGAGTGGCTCCACAGCCCAGGAATCCAACGGGGAGGAATATCCCCAGAGATCCTGCACGAGGAGGGGCTGCAAACGCAGATCACAGGGATCCGAGGGGATAAGAGCCACCTTGGGCCGGAGAGGCAGCCGGAGCGCGGAACTGGGGTTCCATGAGCAGCTTCACAATGGAGAGAAGTCCTACAAGTGCTCTAAATGTGGGAAGAGCTTAAGCCAGAGATCCTCTCTGATCCGCCACTGGAGAATCCACGCTGGGGAGAGGCCCTATGAGTGTGAGAAATGCAGGAAGAGATTTCATAACAGATCCACTCTCCTCAGGCACCAGCAGATTCACACAGAGGAGAGGCCCTTCTGCTGCCCCGACTGTGGGAAGGGCTTCAAGCACAACTCCACCCTTGTCAACCACCGACGCATCCACACCAGGGAGAGGCCCTACGAGTGTGGGGAGTGTGGGAAGAGCTTCACCCAGAGCTCCACCCTGACTGCCCACCAGAGGAGACACACAGGGGAACGGCCCTATGAGTGTGCTGAGTGTAAGAAGAGCTTCAGGACCAGCTCTGAACTGACTGTCCACCAGAGGATCCACATGGGGGAACGGCCCTACGAGTGTGGGCAGTGTAAGAAGAGCTTCAGACGGAGCTGCCACCTGATCCGCCACATGGGAGTAAATTGCTGTGTAAAAACGCTCGCTCGCGGTGAGAGACTTCTCCAGGGTCAAGCTGTTCAAGTAGAAGCAATTTATTATAAGGGTAAAGAGAGGGGAGACCCGTGTCCGCCACCAGCCTCAGCGTCCACGTGGTCAGGGGGAGGAGGGAGAGAGCGGGCAGAGCAGGGGAGGAGAGGCTGGAAAAGGGGAGGGTGTAAGAGAGGGAGGCTCTTGTTACAATCCAATATATGCTTTCCTATAGTGAATATTCTAATTCTTAGTAACCAATCACCATGAAATACACCCACTAAAGAATTTACATACAGCCTATGCGCTTCCCTATATTAACATACAGTGTTGCATTTTAGACTCTACAAAGCTTTACAAATTCTTTCCTTGCTTCTTGACCTTTGGACTTTCTGTCAGCAGAAGGACATTGTTTTGTCAGCAGGGATTCTCCTTTAGCTGGCTAAGCTATTGTTCTTTGGTCATATAGTAACCAGTACTCTGTATCTTATGACTCAAAGCAGGCTTTCATTTCTATCTCAATTCTAGGCCTCATACTTTCAGAATCTTTTGTTAAACGATCATATTCACAAGGTTTCCCTGTTTCATCCTCCCCAACAGGAGTCCACACAGGGGAACGGCGGCCCTATGAGTGTTGGGAGTGTGGGAAGAGCTTCAGGATGAGCTCCGAACTGATTGTTCACCAGAGGAGCCACACAGGAGAGCGGCCTTACGAGTGTGATAAATGCAGGAAGAGGTTTTACAGCACTTCCCATCTCCTCCTCCACCAGCAGATTCACACAGACGAGAGGCCCTTCCGCTGCCCCGACTGCAGGAAGGGCTTCAGGCAAAACTCCACCCTCATCAGGCACCGGCGCATCCACACCGGGGAGAGGCCCTACGAGTGTCCTGAGTGTGGGAAGAGCTTCTCAGTCAGCTCAAACTTGACCCAACACCAACAGAGGCTCCACAGAGGTAGCCCTGCAAGTGCCCCGGGTGTGGGAAGAGCATCGTGTGCTGCTCCAGCTCTGTCCCTCATGGGAGGATCTGCATTGGATGATCCCCAGTGACCCCCAGTGGGCAGGGCCCCAGTGATCTGTGTTGGGAAGACACCTGGCTGGGGGACTTCACTTTCTCCTGGTTCCCTGTGGGCACCTGGACACATCCACAGACCAACATCAGAAATCCATTGTGGACAGCAGATTCGTTGACTTCTGACCCCAAAAAAATGTCACTTTTTGCATCCTCTGTAAAGTGGTGACATCAAGCATCAAGCAACACTGGATGGCCTTGGCCTGCGCCAACATAAATCCATCCTTTAAATTCTCTCTGGCCCATGGGCATCTTCCACAGCCAAATGGGGATGGATTGGGGAAAAACTCACAATTTTGGAGACAGTGGGGTGAAAACCCTTCCAAAAATGGTTCTTCCCACCCACCCAAGCATGTGGATGCTCTGCCAGCAGGGACACATAAATCTTTTTGTTTTGGCCTTGAAAGGAAAAGGTTTCTGTTCATCCCTTTGAAAGCCCTGAAATAGGGGTAAAAATAAAGCTGTTGAGCTAAGGCATGGGTGGGGCCATGGGGGGATAATGACTTGGGGAACATGACTAGGGATGGGGACATGGACATGGAGGGGGACTTGGCCATGGATGGGGACCCGGGGGGACACAGGCCTGGGTGAGGACACAAGGGGACATGGGGAAGATGGATGGGGACATGAACTGGGACAGCATCAATGCCACCACCTGTGTTACCAGCACCTTCATCTTGGCCATGGGGAACCACTGCCCGATGCAGTTCCTGCCACCACATCCCCACTTCTATCATCACAGTGTCCCAGCCGAATGTCACACTCACCAGGGCAGGACGGGGAACTTGTTCAGCTGGTGACAAGTGGGCCAGACGTGAGTGACAGCCACCAGGGTGTCCCAGGGCCACTGAGCTCAGGGGACCCCAACCACCCCTGGGGATAGGGCAAGGGTCAGTGTCACCCGCGGGGTCGTGTGGCCCTGCACAGGGTATCACCAGAGGTGGTGTGGTGGCAGTGTCCCCACAGATGGGGCAACATTGTCCCCTGATGTGTGTCCTGGTGGCATCGTGTCCCCTCCCTATCCCCACCCCCCGCTGTGGCTCCATGTCAGCCATCTGTGTGTCCCTGTATCCCTGTCCCCCACCCCTGGCAGGGCCAAGGTCTCCGAGGTCCCAGGCCCATGTCCTGCAGGGTGTCCTTGTGTCCAGCAGCGTGTTGCCATGTCCCTCAGGATGTTCCCATGGCTGCTCCTGGTGCTGAGCATCTACAGCCATCCCAGCACCCACACACTCCACGACATCCATTGTCCTCTGATTTTGGGTCCTTCCTCTCCCATTTTGGGTCCTTTCCCCCTCTTTCGGATCCTTTCTCCCTCTTTTGGGACCATTCTCCCTCTTATGGGTTCTTTCTCCCTATTTTGGATACTTTCTCCCTATTTTGGATCCTTTCTCCCTATTTTGGGTCCATCCCCCCCTCTTTTGTATTCTTTCCCCCATAATTGGATGTTTTCCCTCTTTTCAATCCTTTCCCCCAATTTTGGGCACCCTCCCCTTGACTTTAGTCATCCCCCCTATCCAACCCCCTCTTCACCCCTTAACCCCCCTCACCCCCACCCCCTGTCCCCTCAGGCATGTGGCCAGCTGTGTCACAACTGTCCCCTGTGCCACATGGACTCTGTGCTTGCCATCCTTTATGCCCTTGAGTCCCTGGCTCAGGACTGTGGATGTCCTCTTCCAGGAGATCCAGAGCTGGGCTGGCTTCCAGGGGACACCAGTGGCCCCAGGGCTCAGGGTGGGTGTCCTGGTGGGGTTGGTGGGAGGGGGTTTGGGGTCATCTTGGCACTGACCATGAGTCTTGTCCACTCTGCAGTGGGGAGCAGCCCCTCCTGGGGAGCTTGGGATGGGTGGGGGCAGGAGAGGTTGGACACTGGTCCAGATGGACACCAGAGCCATGGGTCCCGCTCTGGATGGATGCTGGACCAGATGGACACCAGAGACATGGATCCCAGCTGGACACTGGAATGGATGGCCCTGGCCCTGCAGCCCCCAGCCCACATGACCACTAGCCTGGACACATCCTAGTGCACCCCACTGGCCCACCAGCCCATCCCAGTAGCCCCAGTCCCAAAATCCCACAAAATAAACCCAATTCCAGAACACTGGATCCAGGTGGTCCCTGCAGAGTGAGGGGGAAACTGAGGCACGGTCTGGGAGGGTTGACTTTACTGTGATGGGAGGAGACTTTGTGAGCCACCCTGGAGACACCAAAATGAGCAACCACCCCCTAAACTATCACCACATAATCCCAAACCCCCAGCTGTCACACTGGGAGGGCTCCAGGAGCCACCACAACCCTGCAGTCCCTTCGAGGGGTGACCCGAGGTGTCCCCTCAGTGTCACCAGCACGTCCCCAGCAGGAGGAGTAACATCACCTCCCAGTGAAAGAGGAGGAGGAGGTGAGGGTGTGACTGAAACCCCTGCCCGGTGTAAGAGACAGCCCAAAGTTTCTCTCCTCTGCCTCACAACCGTCACAAAAACAGAGACTAAGACCCTGAAGACCCCAAGGGACTTTGTGCAGGGGTTCTGGCCTGGTTGAGGTCAATGCTTGCCAGTGATTGTTTGCAGGTGTGCTTGCTGTGCTGCTGTACACTGCCTTCATTCCTGCTGCTGAGCAGGGACTTGTACGGAACGGCCTGGTCTGTACCTCACACCTGCTTCCCAGAGCAAGGGGTCTCATCACAATAGCCTGGGAATCTCCCCACCTCTTGGCCAGCTGCCCCTTGCTTTGAAACAGACTGTAAAAATGACTTTTGTAAGTTATTTTCTTGGAAAGAGATCTCCCCCTGGAAGAAGACACTGGCGACCCCATCTCGCCCATTGCTAGCTGTAACCTCCCCTTTTTCTCTCTCTTTTCACTTTGCCTCTTTATCCCTCTCTCCCCCTCTCTCTCTTTCTCTCCCTCTCCTCTATCGCATAACCCATGTTGCTGGCACTGAAATAAAGGTGCATTATTGCTGTTGTGATTTAAACTGAAATCATTTGTGTCCTTTTTGCACTCTGAGATCAAACAAACTTCTCACGACTCCCACTGGCGTTAGCGAATCGTGACATTTAAATTGGAGTCACAGACAGGATTTCTGGCAGACAGAAGGGGCTGCAGGTTTGTTGTGCAGTCTGTATTAAGGGAAAGACGTTTTGCTCCAGCCGCACCCAGCCCGACACTCCCAAAAGAGTGAGCGGTGTCTAGAAAGCAAGGGGGGCGACTCGGATTTC